GGCGGGGTGTCAGGAGGTGCGCAGGGTGGTTGTCAGGACATGGTGTGGGACCGGGTAAAGGGTTGTGTCAAGGCTGACGGGGGGTCCTGCGGGAGAGGTGGGTGTGAGGGTTGTCGGGCCAACGGTGGGTGCTGGCAGGGAGTGGTGCCCGGCCCGAGTAGAGCCGCCGTGGCCTGAGCCTGCTTGTCCTCCCCTCTAGGATGCAGCGGTGGCCAGTGGTGCTCTTCCTGGCCTGGGTTTGCTTTCTCTTTTTTGCCGGCATCGGGCTCTTCATGAGCGGCTTCCTGCTCACCCGGATCGAGCTCGCCAGCAGCAGCTCCTGCTCCGACCCGCTTGTGCCGCCGCCCTGGGAGGGGCAGAGCCTCCCGCCGGGCTCCTGCTGGGCGCCCCAGCGCTTCTCCAAGGCCGTGCTCGTCATCATCGACGCCCTGCGCTTCGAGTTCGCCCGCTTCGACCCCGGCAAGGCCAGCCCTCTGCCCTACGAGAACAAGCTAGGGGTGTTGCACCACCTGGCCACCTCCCAGCCCCGGCACGCCCGGCTCTACCGCTTCCGGGCCGACCCCCCCACCGCCACCATGCAGCGCATCAAGGGCCTCACCACCGGGTCACTGCCCACCTTCATCGACGTGGGCAGCAACTTTGCCTCCTACGCCATCCAGGAGGACAACCTGCTGGCACAGCTGGTGCAGAACGGTGGGTTCCTAACCTTAGGCTGAGGCAGGGGACATTCAGACGTTAGAAGCAGCTGTTTTTTCACTGTTAGGGTGGTCAGATTGCCCAGGGAGGTGGTGGAGTCACCATTCCTGGAGGGGTATTTAGGAGGCATCTGGATCTCGCACTGGGTTTAGTGGTTTAGGGGTTACAGTGGTAAGTGGATGGTTGGATAGGATGATGTTGAAGGTCTCTTCCAACCTTGGTGATTCTATGGTTGGAACTGTTCAGCCTGGAGAAAAGAAGGCTGCAGGGAGACCTATGTAGCAACCTTCCAGTATCTGTAGGAGGCCTGCAGGGAAGCTGGAGAGGGACTCTTTATCAGGAGCTGTAGTGATAGGACAAGGACTAATGGGTACAAATTGACGGAGGAGCAATTTAGATTAGATAATAGGAAAAAATTCTTCATTATGAGTGTGGTGAGACACTAGAACACGTTTCCCAGGGAGGTTGTGGATTCCCCTCGGCAGTGTTCAAGGCCAAGCTGAATAAGGCTTTGAGCAACCTGGTCTGGTGGGAGGTGCCCCTGCCCATAGCAGGGGGGATTGGGACTAGGCGATCTTTAAGGTCCATTCTAACCCCTTAATATTCTATAATTCTGTGGCCCCGTGTGGGGCAGGGCAATGTCCCACTGGGACAGGGCATTTGCAAATCCCTGCTCAGTTTAACCTTTGTTCAAAACCTTGATTCCTCTCTCACTGGGAAGGGAACTTCTTACACCACCTCCGCTCTGCCAGCTAATTCTTTTGCCCTGCTCAGTGACAGTTTTCTGAGGCAGAGCTGCCATGCAGGCGGGGTTTCTCCAGCTTGTGCTGGGAGTGAGGAGTAGCTGTGACTGTGGCTTCATCTTCATCATCTTCAAAGATGACAAGAGAGCAGGTGAAGGTGGCTGCTCTGATGGTGACTGTCACAAGGTCACCTCCAGGAGTGGCTGTACGAAGCCAAGGGCAGTCGGTCGTGCTGTGTGAGAAGGGAGGAGCCAGGTGTGCCGGGTGGTGCCAGGTATGCTGTGGGGGTGACCCTGCCTGCCTGGCCAGCTGCCTGCAGCTCTTAGGCAGCAACCTAACTGCGTCTTTGGTGTAGTTCAGTGCTACTGTGGGGTGCTCAGTGCAGCTGTAAAGGGTTTGTTATGGTGTGGTGGTGGAGTAGAGGGAAAGGGACAGGACACAGTGGGTTGTTCTCTGGAGAGATTTCCTCCCAGGGCTCAGAGTGGCACCAATACCAGTGCCTGGGTTGAGGCAACAGGACTGCATGTGAGCAAGGTGGGCAAATACAGTCAAACATCTGAGGCAGAATGCACTGGTAGGCCCTGTGCCACAGCAGCAGCCTCAGAGGAAATGGTTCCTGCTCTCAAGCTGGAGAGGCACTGTGGAGGCACAGTGGGCTGGTGGCAGGCAGGGCAAGCAGAGCGAGGGTAGAGGGAAGAAGCATCAGTGCTTTTGCCTTCTCTTTTCCACATCTGGAACACCACCACTGTTGTGTTTAAAAGCCAGAGCCCAGGACTCATGGCTTCTACTCAACTCCTACCTTGTGCCTCCTGTTTTGCAGTGGGGTCACAGGCCCTAGGTGAGGGTTTATCTGCTTTGTGCTGCACCTCCTGCACCCACCTATGTTGTGACCCACAAGTCTTTCTGCTGGGGTGATGTGTCAGGCCAGCAATAAATCGTGAGGTTGTGCAGGTGGATTTGGTGTGGGGGACGCTCCTGGGCTTAGAGACAGGGCTGGTCACTCCCTGTATTCAAAGTCATTTACAGCCAGATGGTCATTTTAATTTTAGGTCAGTTTTGAGTGTGGGTTGGAGAGGGGCCATTGCTCCAGACCCTGACCTGGGTCTGCCCAGGCTCTTTGTGTTGTTGTAGGTAACAGCATGACTCAGGTGGGCTCTGTCTCTTATTGGTTCCTGTCTCACAGGAAGGAGAGTCGTCTTCATGGGTGATGACACATGGGAAGGACTCTTCCCGAAGAAGTTTTTCCGCTCATATTTCTTCCCTTCTTTTAACGTGAAGGATCTTCACACTGTGGATGATGGGATCCTGCAGCATCTCTATCCAACTGGTAAGCAGCCCTTTCCCCAGGGCCTGGAAACCCCTTGACATTATGTGGGAGTTCTACTGCAAGTTTGAGGTAGGACTGAAGGATTTTTCTGTTATGTCGTGGCACTGGGCAGTCACAAACTGCTGCCCAAGGATTATAGTGCTCTCACTAGACTTCCACAGATAAGCCAGCTCTTGGAACCCCTAGACTGTTTCTATAAATACCTGTCCACCATTTGGGAGGGAGTTCAGCTTCTTGGGATGAGGTTAGACTTTGACATCTGTCCTAGAAACACACTGGCAGGATTTAGCAGGAGGAGCAGCTAAATTTTGACTTGTGGCTGCCCAGGAAGGCACACAATGCTCTGGGAAATAGACAAGTTAGGAGGCTGGGACACAGCACTACTCTCAGCATAGCTTGTGTACCTCCCGATCATGGGAAGAAGGTGAAGTGTGAGATTAGTTTGTGAATTTTAGGTGATTTCCACCTTCTTGAGGTCCTGGGACCAAGGGAAATCCTCTTTCCTTTTTCTGTGTTTGACTCTAAGTGAATCAAGGGTGCAGTGGCCTTTCACAGGGAAGTCCTTGTGCCTTGTGGGAGAGCTGCTCCTCATTGTTTAACTCCAAATGTGTTGGTTTCGATGCGTCAATGCCCTGAAGCAGAGGGGAGAGGCTGGGGAAACTTTCTAGCTAGGGACAATGTTGATGTGCCAGGTGGGATGCAGAGGGGCACATTCATGGGTCCAACCTGAAGTATCTCTGGGGAGGATGGGAGTTTTGGGTTTATCTTCTCTGGAGGATCCCGTTGCTTTAGCTCAGTTTGTGGCAGCTTACTGAGTTAAGGGTGTTTCAAGACAGCTTTGGTTCCTGTCCTGAGGGGTGGTGAGGAAAAACCAGGGATGCTGGATTTGATGTCCCTGTGCCATTACACCCAGGCACTTGCAGACAAGAGTGTGCCTCAGTTAAAACCTGCACCAATCTGCTTGAGAGCTGGCAGTGACAGTGGCAGGAGGGGAAGAAACAGCAGTGTCCAGAGACAATCAGGGAGCTCTGGCAGGAGGATCCAGGTGTGGAATCCCAGGCTGGTGTGTGATAAGGCTGCTTTTGTTCCACAGTGGACAGTGGAGAATGGGACATGCTAATTGCTCACTTCCTTGGAGTGGACCACTGTGGGCACAAACACGGACCTGACCACCCCGAGATGGCCAAGAAGCTCACCCAGATGAATGAGATGCTCAGGTGATTAATGCAGTAGGGAGGGGTTGCCTGAGTCTTCCCAGTGAGATGCAGAGGGCAACAGAGGATGCTTACTGACCCTGTTAACATGGAAAACAGCTTTGGCCAGTAGCAGCTGGAAGGCCAGATATGGGCAGTCTCTCTTTGAATAGGTGCATGTTGATGAGATGTTTGGTTTCAGAGGTAAGGCTGCCTGTCGGAGCCTTGGTTCTCTACCAAACCATCAGGTGACAGTGCAGCTGGAGTACAGCTGAGCCTCAGTCTTTCCATCCTTAACATGGAGATTAAGGCTACTTGAGCAAACATGAGGTTTATCAATGTTTGAGAAGCACGTGGAGGACCCTGGCTGGGGGTTGCTGCATTTATCATACAGGCCCATAAGTTGCACCTTTGTGTCAGAGGGCAGAAGGGGATCCAGAAATCTCAGCCATGCAGACGTGTCTCAGCCCAAAATGCTGCAGCTTTTCATTCTTAGGACTGCTTTAAGTTTTGCTGCTACAAGGAGTTGGTGACTTACTCTGCTGTACCTGAGAGCACAGTGTATATCTACCACCTACTGCATCCTTCAGGGACTAATCCCCTCTTTTGTCCTTTAAAGTAGGAGATGGCTCACATAACATGATACATGACCCGAACAGAAGCAGTGTAAAATTTTGTTCCTGTTGGGAACCTTTCCTCTGAATTGCATTTTGTCAAGGTCTGTGGAGGCACTGTGGAGGCTGGGCATCTAAGAAAGGCTAGTCCACTCTGTCTCAGGGCTCTGAATTTTCAGTTTGGCTTTAGAGCACCCATTTAAAGCAGCATGGTCCCTGGCTCAGTTGTTACAGCTCTGTGTCAGCACTTAGTTTTGCTCGTACCCTTTTGTGGGCTTCACCTCTGTGCGACAGACAGGCTTGGTGGGGACATGTTCTCTCCCACCTAGGCTGGCTGGGCTCCTGCCCAGGGAGGACTTGACCTTCCTTATCCTGGTGACAGGTCCTTGGTGGATCACCTGGGGAATGACACCCTTCTTCTGGTGGCTGGGGACCATGGCATGACAGAGACTGGAGACCACGGTGGCGACAGTGAGAAGGAAGTGAATGCAGCACTGTTTGTGTACAGTAGGACACCCCTGTTTGGCAGTGGCCCTCCAGAGGTGAGAAGAAGTTGACCCTTGGTATCTGGGGTGAAAACTGCATGCTGGGTTTACAGAGAGTGACAGTTTGATTGGGATCATTTAGATTGAGAGGGATGAGGGAGTCTCTCACCTTATCTTGAGAGAACAGTGGAAGGGCTGACACAGGATCCAGGGGACTGAAGTGTTTGGGACCCATGTTCAGGCCCCTGCAGCTGTGAGAGGTGCTTGTGTAGGGCTGTACCCATTGACCTGCAGCTCCCAGCAGGTATCCATCACTCCACAGGGCCCTTGGAGAGGGCAGAGCTGTGCCTTTGCCTGGATTCACCTTTGAACAGGAATGTCTTTCCCATCATCCTCTGACACGAGTGAAAAGATGCATTGCCGTGTTCTTTCTGAATTTACAATTCCTCCGCTGTCTCTCCAGGAGCCTGAGACCATTCCCCAGGTGAACCTGGTGCCCACTGTGGCCCTGCTGCTGGGTGTGCCCATCCCCTACAGCAACATTGGGGAGGTGATGGCTGAGCTGTTCTCCGGGGACGGTGACACTGTGTCTGCAGCCTTGCAGCAGCTCTCGGTCTATCACATCAACGCCAAGCAGGTACGGCCTATGGCAGGCCCCCCATTGAACTAGAGGGGAGAAGGAACGGCGTTTTAAGCACAAACCTCTTCTGTTTTGTGGAGATGGGGTAGTGACATGCTGTTACCTTCAAAGGGCACTGATTTTGAGGTGTTACCTCCTTGCAGTGTTTGCTCCATTAAAAGACAGCACCACTTTCCCCAAATTAAAATGAAAGATACGTGTTTAGTGCTGTGGTGTGGAAAATACTGCCTGGGAAGGTGGCATTCCTTTCAGGATGAGGGTTGGCCCCAAATTGTCAGGTGGATTTGGTAATGGGGGACACTGGTTCCTCAAGGCTGAAGATGACCGGGGGTGAGTCTTATGAATGGAGATTCAAGAGTAAAATTGAGGTTTTGATGCTGCTTCAGTTTTGAAGGAGAAACAGTGTTAACTAAAAAGCTATTCTAGATCAGTGACAGAAGGAGAACAGTAATGAAGGACTAAATAAATACTATGTAACAGGTGACAGTAAAGTGGGTTACAGAAGGAGCAGTTTACACCAAGTGCAACCAAATACAGAACCCCAAGATCTGAATGACAAAATTTGAATGAGAGTAAAGGGAAAAATGAAAGAAGCCCAGGAAATGGAGCAGGCCAAGTCAGAGCCTCTAGGGAGGATGTGAGGGCTGTCTCTTGTGGCTCTGGTCATGCTACAGAGCCAGATTTGCCTTAGGCATTGCAAGGCATTTGTCTCAGCTAAGGGCCAGTCTACCTTTGAGGGACCCTGGATTACTGGGAGCACAGGAATAACTCCTCCAGCACCCAGCCAGCTCCTCAGAGTGCTAGCTAGTATACCACTGGTACAAGCCAGTGAGGAGCTGGAGAGAATACAACTACTGATGGGAAGATGGAAACATTCAGCCTCTCAGCTCTGTATTTGTAGACCAGCAGAGTGCCTTGTCATTTAAAGATGATACTGTATGTTCATGTCCATTAGTCACTGAGGATATCAATCGTCATCTGTTAGGAATCAGCATTATCCAGTCCTGCCTGTTTAAATACTTGCACTCATTTGTCTGAGGAGGTTTCTGGCTTAGTTATGTCGGTGTTGAAGGAGTCATGGCATTCCAGGGGCGGGATTGTGCAGGGCTGTGAGAGAGCCGGTGCACATGTCTGCCATTCATGGGAAGGCAGACTGATTCTGCCTGTGCTCTGAGGTGACTGGAAGGTGTGTGGAGTTACAGGTGCATTTCAGGACTTGAGCAGATCTACACTGCTGAGCAGCTGGATGTATGTGCAGGTGTCCTGCCCTGCTAATCCCCCTGTAAGACTTCTTTTATGACTCTTGAAGTAGGAAGCGAGAAGCCTATGGTGCAGTTGGTTAATGTGCCTCTATTGATGAAGGGGAAGCAGTTAGGTCTGATCCACTAAAGGCTTTTTAATTTGATGTTTGTCCTCAGACAAAACTGCGAAAGTCGACATCGGGTGCAGATTAAGAGCCAGTAATGATCTGAGCTTCTGGAGCACGTTTGTCTTATTGCTGCCAAAGACTGTATAAAAGCCCTTAGTGATGCCCAACATTAGCAGAGGTGCAGCTACAGGTGAAGACCTAAGTGGAATCAAGTGTGGCTGTCAAGATGGATGCGTCACTTGAGAGGGATGTCACTTTGGCAGAGGGGTTGTGTTTCCTGTTTCCTGCCGGTGACATCCTGAATTTGTGTGACCAGCCCAGGATGATGTGGCTGGGGAAGGGTCTGCCCTGGCAGGGGTTGGTACACTGGGGCTGTTTCCATTCTGAAGGGGCTGTGTGAGGCAGTGAATCCTGTTCCCAATGGTCCCAGTACTGCTGTCTGATCCTGTGTCCCCTTTTCTGTAGGTGGATCGCTTCCTGCACTCCTACTCGCTGGTGGCTCAGGACCTGCCGGCAGAGCAGCTCCAGCACCTGCAGGAACTTTTCTCCAGCACCGTGGAGGAGCACACTCAGCTCTTGGCCGAGGTGCAGGGAACAACGCTGGTGCCTCCGGAGCTGGAGTCCAGGCTGGGAAGCCTCATTGGTCGCTTCCAGCTCTACCTGCGGGAGGCACGGGCTGTGTGCACCCAGTCCTGGGCCCGCTTCCATCCCCTGCGTATGGTGGGGGGCTGCATCCTTGTTGCGGCTTCCTGCTTGCTCTGCTACATGGCCTCAGAGTTGGCCACATCCTCGGACTCCTTCTATCGCAGCTGCCTGCTGTACCCGCTGCTCTGGGGCCTCATGGGGGCTGCTCTGCTTGGGCTGGCCCACATTTTCACCCAGGAGGGGCTGGACCTTCTCCTGGTGTTGTCATGGGCAGCCGCTGCTTCTCAGATGGGATTTTTCTGGCACTGGTGGGTCCAGCATCCCAAGAGGGCCCGTTTGGTGGGCAGTCAGCCACCCTTGGCCAGCAGTGGCCTGAGGCAGAGGCTGCGAACATGGCTGGGGCTGGCCTTTCCCATGGGCATCCTGTTCTTCCGCTGTGGAGCCATGTTCTCCGACAGCTTTGTCGTGGCTGAGGCGCAGGTGGCCCCGTTCCTGCTGGCCTCACTGGTCATGTTGCTGGTAGGGAAGCTCCACTGGGACGGTCACCTGACTGTGCCAGAAAGCCCCAAGCAGCAGCTCCTTGGCTTTTCCTCTTACCGGAAGGATATCTGGTACTTGCTGTGCCTCGTGGCCGTGCTCCTGGTCTGCGTGCGCCTCTCCGGTTTCTTCCACCAGTGCCGTGAAGAAATTCCTCAGTGCCGGCCCTCTCTTTTCCTCTCCCCCCTTGCCAGCCTGAGAAACACACGGGCCAAGAACCTCTTCTACCTCCTGTGCGTGGCCTTGCTGGCCGGGCTAGTGTATGCAGTGCGGAGCTGGCTGCGGCACTACGGCAACCTGAACAGCTCGGACCCCCTCGTGCTCTTTGTGCGCTGGGGCTTCCCACTGGTGGTGCTCTGCATTGCCTGCTACTGGGCTGTGGCCTCCAGCACTGACGACTCCCTGGGCAAGCTGCAGGAGCTGGTGCAGGTGGCAGTTGTTGCCTTTCCGTGGGCTGTCTATGGACTGGCGTCTGTGGGACTGCTGCTCCTGCTGTGCAATCCCATGACAGTGTTTGCAAAGGACACACGGGAGTCAGCAGGATCCATTGTCACTCCCTACCTGGGGGTTCCCAGCTCCGAAGTCGACTTCCTCCACGTCATCCCTCAGATCTACAAGAGGATGCAGGAGTCCCAGAAGAGCCGGCTGGAGCGAGGCAGCTGCAGGGCCACGGTCGCAGCATATGGGCTGGGCAGTGTGTACTCGGCAGCCCTGGTCATTGCCCTCACCCTCCTGGGCTTCCTCCTGATGCTCCTGCACAGCGAACGCCTGAGCTTTGCCTTCCTGCTCCTCTTCCTGGAGGCCTTTGTGCTGCTGCACATCCACACGTGTGCCAGAGGCCTTGCTGGAGATGCTGGTGAGTGAGTAGAGCAACTTCTGGATGTGATGTGTGGCCTGGTCCTCACCTTGCCTTAATTCCATTGGGAGAGGAAGGGCCCAGTCTCTGCTCTTGGGGAATGGTGGTGCCCTGATCCTCAGGGGATACACCTAGCTTTTTTAAAGCTACTTAAATCCTCCAGTAGAAGAAAGATGCATGCAGCAGGGACATGAATGTAAGGGGAGTCAGGGAAAGGAGTTCTACACCCATTTCTTCTGCCCAGGGTGTAAGCAGTCACCAAATTCTCTGTTACTGACAGAGCCCAGTAGCAGGGTGGGCAGCAGAGGGAATGGTTGCCCGTTGCTGCATCTGTGGTGGGAGCTGGGCTGGTTCCTATCTCTCAAAAGAGCCAGCATGGAAAGGGAACCTGGAAGAAAGGTCGCTAGGCTTTTTTTGACCATGGATCTCTCTTGTTCCTTGATGCTGATATCCCCACCCCCTGCCTCTTTTTTTATCTTTTTATCCCTCAGAGCCTTTTTCTGTGCCCTGGTATGCAGTCATCTCCTGGCTTCTTGCTGCTTCCCAGTTCTTCTATTCCACAGGCCACCAACCCATCTTCCCAGCCATCCACTGGAATGCGGCCTTTGTTGGCTTCCACCTTGACCACAGCACGAACCTCCTGCCTGCTGTCCTGGTGGGCGCCAACACCTTTGCCTCCCATATCCTCTTTGCAGGTAAATCAGTTTCCCCCTGGGCTGTGGTGCCTGAGCAGACACAGCTCATTGCTGTGCCTTGCCTGGGGGTCTGCAAGCTGAGCACGAGGCAGTGCAGGCTCGGGCACCAGCTGAACAGCAGCATCCTCACTGTCCCCTTCTGCCTGTGGCCTGCAGCTTGGCCTGGATATCTGCTTACTTCATATCCAGGGCATGATGGCAGAGCCTAGGAGCTCCTCACCTCCTGGGCTCCAGTAACTTCATGTGCCTTTGTCCTTGAGGTAGTTGGCTGCCCCCTGCTCCTGCTCTGGCCCTTTGTGTGTGAGATGCCCAACTCACAGAGGAAGAAGCCCAAGAAGGAGTCACGTGAGGAGCTGCAGGAGGTGGAGGAGCACATGATGGAGATGAGGCTGCGGGAATCTCCAGAGAAGTTCTCTGTTGCACTGTTGCAGCTGGGGCTGAAGTACCTCTTTGTGCTTGGGACACAGGTAAGGACAGAGGCAGGGTGGCTGTGGGAGAGGCTGTCTAGGAGGCAATTGGTGTGCTGTGAGAACTGTGGGTCACTCTGATGAGAGAAAGGGGTCAGCCAGGACACAGACAAGTGCAGGGGTGATACATCTGGTTGCAGATGGAAGCCACTGTATGGATTAGGCTGCTTTTCATACCCATCTGTCCAGAGTGGGAACGGTTGTTCAGGAACTGCAGGGCTGTAATCCTGCTCCCCCTCTTTCTGACCATCCCTATCTCACTCCAGCTCTGGTTTTCATATGTGCTGTGGTGATACTGGGAGCTAAACACCAGAAAATTAATCCTGTGAAAGGAGCAAATAGCTTTCTGGGGTTTATCCTTTCAGATCATTTTTTTATGTGGTCAGACTAGAGGCAGTGCAAGGGAGGGGACAGGCTCTGCAGCAGGAGAGCAGGAGTGCACCTCTTAGTGAAACAGCAGGTCAAGTTAGGCACAGTGTGAGTCCCCCCCTGTGCTGCCCCAGCCTGGCCCCATGAGGGCCTGCCTGTACCCCAGGCTGCTCATGTTTCTTGATTTGAGGACATAGAAGGGAGTCCTGTTTGGGACGCTCGTAACTGGTATGCGCTGCACCAGCCTCTCAGGTGTGTGCAGTTTAGTACCACCTTTGGATGTGAGCCTAGTGCCTCAGGAGATCTTTCCAGAGTCACTTGTAACTTGTTTTTCCTGATCTTCCTCACAGCTTCTGGCCTGTGTTTGTGCAGCTATGATCCTCAGGAGGCACCTCATGGTCTGGAAGGTCTTTGCCCCCAAGTAAGTCCCAGGAGTTTCTCTGATGATGGGTAAGGCTCATGTCTGTGACATGAACTGGAGTTCCTAGACAGGAAGGTTGGAAGAGACCCTGTGATTGATATTCTGACTTCTTACCTAGTAGAGGTTGTAGGAATGTCCTTAAGTAACTCCTGCTTGAAGTTCAGAAGCTGGACTTAAGGTAGAGCCTAGAAATTTCTCCTCATCTTAATTCCAAGAACACACAGAGCCCACCTGGAAGCTAAGAATATTCAGCTCAGAGAGCCAAAGGTAGGGACCAGACCAGAAGTGGTAAATCCAGAAGTGCTGAACTAGCAAACCTTTGGAATAGTAGGTGTGGGATGTGGCCTCAGCCTCTGAGGGATTCAAAATCCCACCTGAGTCAGGTCCTGAGTGGCCTCTAAACCAGTGGCATGCCTGCCTTCCAGGTTGAAGCAGCAACTGCTGGGCAGCAAATGTAATTCAGGTTTTAGGTTGTGGGGTGCTACCAGCCTCTCACTGTCAGGAAAATCAGTCTGCTGGAGCGATGGGAGCAGCCTGACTTTGTTGGCATGCTGACTTGTCACCTCCTTAACTGCCTCTGTTGTGCCTGCAGGTTCCTCTTCGAGTCGCTGGGCTTCGTGGTGAGCAGCATCTGCCTCTTGCTGGGGATCTCCCTGGTGATGCGTGTGGACTGTGCCGTCAGCACCTGGTTCAGCCAGCTCCGGCTCAGGTAGCGCCGGAGACATGGGGATCCTGACCTGCTCGTCGGCCCAGGCTGTGGTTGTCCCCTTGGCTCCCTCGGGCTGGGAGGGATACATGAGCCGCCAGCAATGAGTGCCTGCCGGCAGCAGTCGGGGATTATCCCCTGCTTCCTGCCTCTGCGCTGTAGAAAAGGACCGGAGTCAACTGTTCCTCGCTCGTGGCGGGGGTGTTTCTCAGCAGGGGAGGTCAGAGCTCTTGCTGGGCCTTTGCTGGCAGCAGGAGGACTCTGCTGCAGGAGCCCAAGACACAAAGAGTCCTGGAGCGCTCCTCTGGAGAAACACCAATGGGGATCTTGCTGCTGCTTTCCTGACAACTGTCTCCACTGTGCAGCTGGAAGGCTTCAGTGGCCAACAGGATGTCACGTTGCCTGTGCAAAGACTCATAGGATGGGGCCTGCTGAGGAGGGAAGAGAAGGTGGGAAGGAGAGGGAATGTCCCACAGCCACGTGTTTAGTTTTCACACTGGAATCAAAGTGTAAGTGATTACATGTGCAGATGGCTCCCAGGGCCTCGGTGGCAGCTGCTCCTCTGTAAAGTCAGTCAGTTGCTCTGTAGTGAGGCCTTTCCTACACTCACTCCTGTTTTCCTGGTGCTTCTCAGCCCTATGAAGGGCAGTGGAGAGCACTCTGGGCTATCTTGTACAGCCTGAAGAGGGCTTAGCTTGGGGCAGTGGTAGCAGGGAGAACTGTGTCCATGACCAAGAAGCTCTCCACTTGTGTTCTCAGCCTGTCAGGGTTCCTGTGGGCTAGGTGGTAGCAGCAAAGGCTCCTCATCTCTTCCTAAGTGTGTGCTGCTGAATGCTGGCTGTTAATTGTGAATGGTTAAGATAGAGAGGACGTAGTGACAGAATATGGGCTCACCCCCATATTGGGCCTGGCCAGGAGGAAAGAGGAGCCCAGAGTAGCTGTCCCAACTGCAGGAGTGGCCTTGGTGTGAGCTCCAGTGCCTGGGAACAGCTGCTTGAAAGCCCTGAGCAGGCACCAGTTCTTGAAGGAGGTGGTTTAATTCACTGGTGTCTGTGTATGTGCTTGGGCTTATGGGCTCTAGGCACTGCAGCCAGTTGCATCCATCATCCTGTGTTTGGTACTTCTCTCCCTCTTGGCCTTGGCATTCTCTATGGGACTTCATGCCACAAGTGAGCTACCCCAAACTGCCCTTGGCTGCATGGTGTTTCTTTATGGGCACAGGTAGAGGACAGTGACCATGTGTCATGGTTTGAGATAGCCCCAAAATCCAATTCCCTAGCTCCATTCCCCCTCCCACATCTCAACCACTACACCATGGCATGTGGCCACATCCCAGCCGAGTTCCTCCTGCAGTTTTCATTGGAGCTGGGATTCCTTACTGCCCTGAACCACTGTGTGGCATTACTTGGTGCTATGAAACCTTTTGTCTCTTTTCCCTCTGGAAAGAGCTGAGGACTGCTTGCCTGGGATTTTTGTATTGATGTTTGTCTGATCCCATTAATTTTTAACTCATGCACCATGACTGCCCCTGTTTGAATTCCTTACTGCAGACTGTTAGTGTAACTCCAGGCTCTTCCTCTCCTCTGCCCTGGAAAGTCCCAGGGAAAATGTCTTGTCACCTCTCTCATCATTTGAGTTTTTGCCATTTTTCCCAAGTGTCCAGTTGCTGTGGAAAATGGCTCTTTAGGGCAGGTTGAGTTTTGTATTTTACCCCTGCAAAATGCCTGCTCAGTTGTTAGGGTGCAGTTCCAGCAAGGTTTAAACAGCTCTAATTTTGGGTTTCCATTGCCTGACCTGCTCCTGAGCTGCTGGCTGTGCTCTCCTGTGTCAGCCTCTCCTTTGCCCTGCTCTGCGAGCCTGTCCTGCTCAATTTCACCTGACTGAGCCAGGGACTGGTCTGTAGCTGGCATTGCTCCCTTGGCTGCCTCACTGCCTGGATGCATGACACTGATACTAGGAACAGGCAAGGGGTACAGGCAAGGGAACAGGCAGCATAGTGGGGGAAGCTGGAAGCTGCAGAAACACATCAGCCCACAGTTAGATGGGTTTAGGCAATCCCACCCTCAGGAGTAGGTTATTTGCTGTAAACTGTGACTCCTTGGCCATATGTTCTCTCTGCTGAGGGGCGAGGGGTACATCCATATGCAGAGGAGGAAGGGGGTGGAGGCAGCAGCTACCCAGTGTTCATTTAATGTGAAGTTAGTCTGGATAACATGTTGCTAAACCCCAAGGCTGGAGCCCAAATAGGTCATCTTGTGACCTTGTAACCTGGTCAGGAGCTTGCTGCCCTGAGTGTATTTGTGCTGGCAGGAATCCTTATGGTCACTGATAGTGTAGAACTGGCCCCTGACGTCCCTGCCGCTGCCACCCAGGCCCCTGGGCTCCCATCTCTGGGACTAGTTCCTCTTTCACCGGCCACTCCAAGGCAGCTGAGCCTTTCCATGCCCATTGTTCATGGCTGGAATACTCACAGGGTGCTTGGGCATCCTCTTTCATCCCTCCATGTGGCTGTGGGCTCATGTTCCCAGGACACCAGGGAGAGCAGAGGGAACAGCAGAGCGCTGTAGTGTCACTGAAGCACACACACTTAACAGAGACTAAACAAAACTTGCAGTAACAGAGCTGCAGGTACATTCCTGTTACTGCAGAGATGCCACGGAGTGCTGGCTGCTTGGCCACGACAGACTGGCTGCTACACCAAAGATTTCAGGTTCACGAAGACAAGTTTTCCAAGGGCTGGAGATGCTCTTGCTTCCCTTCACTGACTCTCTTAGTCTTTTGTCAGCCTTCCCCAGCTGCCCTCGAGCTGATTGATGGTCTGCCATTCTCCTGAGCCTGCTGGGGATTACATAGTTAATGCCGGTCCAGGGCTTGGCAACCTTGGAAGCAGAGCATGCTGCTGATGCTTGAGCAGACAGGGCTGATTTAAGACCAGAAGAGGAAGCTGCCTGCTGGTCCAAACCAGGGCTCTTTGGGAAACCTGGCATGCTGGGGAGTAGGCTCTGCCCCACATCCTTTCAAAGAGCCTGCTCCTGTCATAGGAGCCTGCTCGTCTCTCCTGGAGGAGTTATTCCAAGTGGTTTGTTTCTAGTCCCTATGTCCCTTGGCTGAGCATGACAGGGGACAGAGTGCTCAGCGGAGTAGTTTCCATCCTGCACTCCACAATCCTGCTGCACTTTGGGCTTTGCATGCGTTGTGCGTGTGTTCCTTGGCAGGGGAGAGCTCTGTTGGGAAACTTCCCTGGCTCAGGCCCATGGTGGACAGTGTGTCCCATGGTCCTGGCACAGGTCAGGGATTGAACTGTGTCTTTTTTGCGCTGCTTGGAAAACGGTGACCGAAAGCCACTACCACTGTGAAGAGTTGGAGGTGTTGGGAGCATCCCACTGCTCTGATCTGTGGTGCTGACATGGTCCCAAGGGATGGCACTGCTTTGGGGAGGCCAGGGCTCTATTCCTACACCCGTTCCTCTGTCCCATCTCTGTTCTTCCCTCAACACTTCAGGCTGCTTTTTTATGCCAAGGCACAGTCCCAGTCTCAGTGTGCATGTTCCCCTTTCCCCTTGGGAAGCAGCAGTGCCAGTGTGTGGGGAACAGGGCTGGGGGGTGCTGCTCTCTCCTCTGAACCCTGACTCGACATGCAACATGGCTTGGAGCAAGATTGTTTTATTTTTTATTAACCTCTGTGTGCCTCAGTCCCTCATTTGGGGAAAAAAATAAAAGGGGATGGACCCAGTTGTGGAAAGCGTCCTGGGAGCTCTGCATGCAGCGTGGTGCTACACTTTCCTGGGTATCTACACATCTGGCTGTCAACGCTTTCATTCACATCCAGCAGCTACACCTGGAAGGTGGAAGCGATGCTTGAGTCTCTGCTGGGAGGCAGAGCCTTTTTTCTTCCAAAAACCCCTCCAAAACAGGCAAGCGGGCAGCGCTCCTTCGCTCGGCAACTGCAGCCCTTGTGATGGGTGTCCCACATCCAGCAGTGCTGGGTGCGGCACCACCGACTGCGGGGGGCACCCAGGGAGGGGTCACTCCGTTAATAAATGATTTAATTAATTAATTAAGTGGGGAGTGGGGGAAGTGTGCGTAGAGATTTGCTGTCCGAGGGTGGCACGGGGCTCTGGGCGGCTGTGAAACTGATGATGTCTGCAAATAAAACTGTGAGAGCCAAGGCGGGCGGTGTCGTCTCCTTCTTTCATCCCTCTTCCCGGTGCAGGACCCTCCGGGACCCGTCCCAGGTCTCCTTCGCAGTGCCCTTAATGCAGTGTACAGCTTCCTCACGAGGGGGAGTGGAGGGGAAGGCGTTGATCTCTCTGAGGACCAGTGACAGGAACTGCGCTGAAGCTGTGCCACGGGAGCTTTTGGTTGGACATTACGGAATCACGGAATATCCGGAGGTTGGAAGGGACCCACAAGAATCATGGAGTCCAACCCCCTAAGATTCCCCAAGAATCAGCCTTTTCCTAAGGGTTTGCTAAAGGGGAGGTTTAGGTTGGGTATCAGGAAGAGGTTCTTCACCCAGAGGGTGGTTGGGCACTGAACAGGCTCCCCAGGGAAGTGGTCACAGCGCCAAGCCTCACAGACTTCAAGAAGCGTTTGGATAACGCTCTCAGACACATGGTGTGGTCATTGGGGTGTCGTGCGCTAGGCTAAGAGTTGGACTCCAGGATCCCTGTGGGTCGTTTTCAACTCGGGATATTTAATGCCTCTGTGACCGGCGGCTTCGCCTTGGGCTGCCTTTTGTCCCTCCGCGGCCGCCGCTTCCCCGGCGGGACGCCCGCTCCGCCCCGCGCGTCCCCGTTGCCATGGTGACGGCGGGAAGGGCGGGAAAGCGGCGGGCGATGGCGGCGGCCATGAAGCGGCGGCGCGAGGAGGCCCCGGGGCCGGGGCAGGACACGGAGCGGGAGCAGGAGCGGGACTGCCTGCGGTTCTGGACCGCCCACGGCTGGGCGCGCTGGCCGAGCGCTGGACGGTGCGGCACGGCCCCTTCCTTCCCTGTCCCGGTCCCCGCGCCCCGGGCCCGCCGCCGGTGCGGTTCCCCCATCCGGCGGCGGTGAGTGAGTCCCTTGCAGGCAGCGCGGGCTGCGGGGCCCGGCGGGGCGGCGGCGGCGCGGGAGCTGCGGGCGGCGGCAGCGAGACGCGTTCGAGGAGCTGCTCCTGAGCATCCGCGGTGAGTGGGGCCCTGTCCCTGCCCCTGCCCCTGCCCGGCCGGCGCCTCCCGTTGCTGTCCCGGGCCTGGGGGGTGTGGGCGTGGGAGCACCGGGGCTCGTACACTGCTGTTTACCAGGATGCTGCTCCGGCATCCCAGTGCTGGAAACAAAATTCTGAAGTGGGTGGGAGGGGTTTGAAGCGGTCCTCGCTGCCCTGTGCTGAATTGGGCCTGCAAAGGTGATAATCGCAGAATGACGGAGTTGTCAGAATTGGAAGGGGCCTTGGAGACCACCCAGTCCAATCTCCCTGCCCGGGCAGGGTCATCTGGAGCAGGTGACATAGGAACGCATTCAGGTGGGTTTGGAATGTCTCCAGAGAGGGAGACATTCCGATCTGGAGCAGGGCAGACTGTTCCAGTGCTCTGCCACCCTCGATGTAAATAAATTCTTCCTCACGGTGAGTTGGAACTTCTTGTGTCTTATTTTATGGCCATTGTCCCTTAGGATGTAGCTCCAGCATCCCAGTGCTGGAAGCAAACCAGAGTGAAACAGTTCCTCTGCCCTGTGCTGAACTAGGCCTGCAAAGGGGTTAATGCCCAGCCCCAACCTCCACCTGATCTTGCTGGGCAGAGCTCTGGGTTTTCTGGAAAAAAAATGAGCAGTCTTTGCCGTGGGAAGCCAGGGGAGGGGCTCCCTGCCACAGCTGTGGTGCAGAGGGAGCCTGATGGAAGGCAGCCTGAGTTCCAGTTCTGGGCTCCTCACTGGAAGAGAGACAAGGAGCTCCTGCAGGGGGTCCAGCAGAGGGCAACAAAGATGATTAAGGGACTGGAGTGTCCTATGAGGAAAGGCTGAGGGAGCTGGGCCTGTTCATTCTGGAGTAGAGACAACTGAGAGGGAACCTCATCAATATCTATAAGTATCTGAAGGGAGGTGTCAGAGGACAGAGCCAGGCTCTGCTTGGTGGTGCTGAGCAACAGGACATGAGGCAACGGGCAGGAACTGATGCACAGGAAGTTCCACCTGAACATGAGGAAGAACTTTACTGTGTGGATGACTGAGCACAGGAACAAGTTACCCAGAGTGGATGTGGAGTCACCCTCACTGGAAATATTTAAGAAGCATCTGGACACAGTCCTGTGTCGTGTGCTGTAGGATGGCCCAGCTTGAGCAGGGAAGTTGGACTAGATGAGCCACTGTGATTTCTTCCAACCTGACCCATTCTGAGATACTGTAAGGAGAGAGACACAGCGTATGAAACGTGTGTGAAAGGGTGGATTTGTATTGAAAGAGAGTAGGGTATTGATGTTCTTTGGAGAGAGCTGAAAGGTCTCAGCCTTGGAGGACTGCAGCACCTGGATAGCTGGGAAATGGATGTATAAAGCAGCTGGCACCTGAAGTGGTGACACGTGCTGTCTGTGGGCAGTGGCCAAGTGCTAAATCACACCACAGTCACAAGTCACACCACAATCCCAAATCACACCACAGTCACAAGTCACACCACAATCCCAAATCACACCACAGTCACAAATCACAATCACAAAAAATATTCTTTCCAGGCCACTTCTGTTGTCACCAAGCCAGTTGTTGCCACTTAGGAATGGATGGTTGTTTTTTCCTAGCCAGCTAAATTTCTTGCTGGGTTGGCTGTGCCCACAGGGCTACCGGTTGCCCTCCCTACCCTGCCTCTGGAACTCACTGTCCTCTACAACTCCCTGCTTTTCACTTTGGGAGCATCCGACTCTGCCATCGAGGGACAAGCAGATGGAATACGCCAGGGCCTCCTCAGGGGTAAGGAGGTGATTCTCTGTATGGGGACTCCTCAGGGCAAGGGGAGCATTCTCTGTGCTCTGGAGATATGTGGTGGGAGCAGACATGCCTGGCTCTGCCTGTAAGGGCTGGAGAGGGAGGGGGCAGGCACACCTGGCTCCACCAGGAAGGGCTGGAGGTGAGGTGGCTTGTGGCCAGGGATGATGTGCAGTTGCCTGCCTGCTGCTCCCTGCAGGGATGGGCCAGAGGTTTTAAGGGAAATGAGTTTTCAAGGTGTAAGGTGCCAAGTCACAAGCAAAGCTTTGGTGACAGTAGAAAATTAAGTGTTTTGTTTAATTATGATGTGCTGGCTTCAAAGAAAACCCACTGAAATAGGCTGCAGGTGAGAGGTGGATCTGCAGTGTTGGTACACACTTACCGAGGGCAAGTGACCTCAAGAGGACTCAGCAGAGCTGGAGTTGTAGCTCTGAGCCGTGTGTTGTCTCCTGAGTGTGCTGCTGTCAACTCCACTCTCTCAGAGCTTGGTTTCTGTACTGCTGAGGCCAGGCCAGCCCTGCAACCCCACTCCTTCCCTCGCTACAAGGAGCCCATGCTTGCTTGAGGCTTTCTTCCCTCTTGCAGGAGGGCGTCCAACTTGTCTCATGGCTGTGGGTATTTTTGCCTGTTTTGTTTTTTTTTTTTTTCAGTTCTGGAGGCTTGTGGGGCCTGTGGACAGGATCTCAGCACAGAGGAGCTGTGGCAAAAGGTGCTGCAGGAGGTAACAGTGGAGGAGCTGCAGGCACCTCTGCACCGACTGGGGGCCCTGCAGGCAGCCTGGTGGTTGGCAGCCGGACGCCTGGGAAGCATTGCTGGCCTCTTCCGGCTCCTGAGCACTGCTGAGGTAATTGGACACGGGCAGACGCTGGCAGAGCCGGCATAAATATTGTGTTTGTCATGAAACCCACTCTGCAAAATGTTGTTGTGGCATTTGGACACCTGAAACCATCAGTGCTGCCCAGTCAGCATGAGTAATGCTCTCCCTGGTGTTCCAGCATAGCCTAATGGCCCTGAGTGTGCTAATGGATCCCAGAATATTCTGCCTGTTGGGGCCCTGGGACCTCTGTATGTGAGACAGGAGATTTGGGCAGGCTGGAATGGGGCTGCAGATGGACTTGTAGACTCTGTAGGGAACATTCTGCGGGCAGTTGGATGTGGAGGAACCTTCCTGCTGACTGGGAGGCTGCTGAGGGGTCCCACCTTTCTGAAGGCACTCCAACAGCACTTGGATCTGCCTTGCCAGGAGCCCCTTGAGGTAAACCCCACTCTGAGGTGGGGAGGTGCTGCCCCAGGCCAGGCAGGAATCAATGCAGTGACGAGGTTGTATCTGAAGTGAGTGGGTGGTAGGACATTGCTTCCCAGTGCAGAGAGCAATGTCAAAGGGTTTAGTGTTTCCCTGTGCCCTTGGATCAGTGTTTCCTGCTTCCCTGCAGCATTCCCTGCTCTCTGTCCTCTCGCGTTCACAGGACACAGGAAGAGGTCGCTGCAGTGAGGGGCAGAATGAGCTCCTGTCCCTGCTGAAGACATGGCAAGTCCCTGCTGAGGGGGCCTGCCTACCTCTGGTACAGAGTGCTGAGGACTTGAAGGAGATCCTCTGCACTGCAGCAGCCTTCCTGCAAGGTTTGTGTGGCAAAGGTACTCAGCTTCCCACTGCTCTCCAGTCCTAGGACCCCCTTACCCTGTCCTTATCATGCTTTCTCTTCCCAAGCAAACTGGCCCTTGGGGGTTTCTGGGCTGAGCCTCTGAGTTTCAACTTTTCCATTCCATATTCTAAGAGCTTCCCTGCTTTTACCCCGGCTGATCCTTTCTCCACAATGTCACAGGGCTCTGCTGCCTGTCTGTGACTTTGCGTAGGTGTCTGGGCCCTGCAGCGATCTTAAAACAGAAGGTTGGCAGGGGACTTGTGAGCATTTTCCTTTCTTCTGTCTGTCTTCCTGCACGTTGTTCCTGTCGGATTATGGTGCTGCAAGAGCCGCACAAAGCTGTTGTAGCCTGGTGTCACAGCAGGCAAAGGATCTCATCTGACTGCTGCATTCTGTCCCACTTGTTTTCTCTCCTTCACTGTTTTGACAACCCCAGCAGCTCTGGGGACAGCCAGTGCTGCCTTACTGTGCTCAGGCTCATGTGGGGCCTTCCTGCCAGGAGGCAGGGCAGGAGCTCCAGCCCACAGACCCAGAGCCAAAATGCTCTAGAGTGGCACCAGCACTTCCAACAGGGA